TCTTTGTTTGGACAACTATACTGCCTGATTGTCAAATATGGATGCATACAATATACCTGTGACAGAAGACTCTGGTATTGCCAATACCCCAAATCATTCTACAATTTATTTTGACAACAGAAAAAAAGAGATGTACTGTATACTACTGCACAAACCCAGCAAGGCATGTTCAGTTATATGATGTATTGTTATAGGATTTATTGTTATAGCATTTATTGTTATAGCATTTATTGTTATAGCATTTATTGTTATAGCATTTATTGTTATAGGATTTATTGTTATAGCATTTATTGTTATAGGATTTATTGTTATAGCATTTATTGTTATAGCATTTATTGTTATAGCATTTATTGTTATAGCATTTATTGTTATAGCATTTATTGTTATAGCATTTATTGTTATAGGATTTATTGTTATAGCATTTATTTCAATCAATGTTTGTGTGGCAGGTGACCGTGAGTCACCACTAATGTCCCCTCGTGAACATAAAATGGTTATGTTGGAGTTTGAGGAAAGAGAATAATTAAAACAGTTTTAGCGCTTATAAAATAAAATAAAAAATGTTTGAGGAATGAGCAAACGAATAAGACAGGTGTTTATAGGCATGGTCCTCTGAAAGCAAGTACCCAAGCTCTCTCAGTATCTCAATATAAAGCTAACCCAGTGGACATCGGAGAACCTGTTTTTTGGTTGTCGCTCAGTCATGGCTCTAGTCACCATTATGCCCTGCTTGGATATAGTGATGTAGTAGCACATTCAATCTTAAAAGGGAAAATTGACATCACATTTCAGGTGTCTTGTTATTAGTGAACATAATTATTGAGAATGTTAATTCAGCCAGTCAGTAGTAATATTAGTTAAGTTCAAAATATCGTTATTCATGTGTTATTAAGGTGTTATTAATGTTGTGTGCAGTCATGAAAAGCTGCACCCTTATATCTAATGTTTTACCATGATAACCTGGCTCTTCTACATCGGGTTCATTGGGAAAGCAACCAAGAGGTAGATGTTTCTGTTCTTGTGATTTTAACATATTTGTTAAAGTTCCTAAAATAGCCCTTCAACCTTTGTGAATGTGGCTACAAAGAACCCTTGGAAACAACAGGAAGAGACTGCCCCTTGATTGTAGAAACGGTTGGACTGCAAATGACTATTGGTTACGTACAGCAATAATGACATTGAATGGCTCCTTGGATAAAGAGATGCTCTTGAGCCTGAAAGAAAACACTGTGAATGGATAATAAAGCCTCTATGGATGAAGGAGTCTCGGACTAGTCGATCAGTCAACAGGTGTATTTTACAGAGTGAGCTGTCATCTCATAACACAGCCACAGGTCTGACAACACACATATTTATTTTTATTTATCAAGTGTTGTTTTTTTCATCATGAAGGCATATACTATTTTCACTGTATATTACTTGTTATATATTTATATAGAAACAAAAATAACGGTACATTTTTGCTGAATAAGATTGAAGAATACCAGCAAAGGGCAATGTAAACCATGTTCCATCAAACTTAGCTAAAAGGTAACTTAACCTACCCTTTCCCACATTTCAACAGTAACATATTTGCATAGGCAAAATGAGATTAGCCCTTTAAACAGTGTATTTCCTGAATTCTTTATATATCTAAAAAATATTTTTCCAGTTGAACACAATTAAACAAACAAACAAACAAAAAAGTCAACTAGGCTAATGGTCCTTTAACGCTCAATATATATATTTTCTGTGCACATTTTGTTTACAGTGTTAGGCTTCAAGTAGATCTAAAAACAAAGTGTACATTGACAAATGTGAAATAAATGAACCAATATGAGAGGTAGTGAAAACCCTAATGAAACTTTTAAATGAGAAACAAAGCAGATAAGGCCTATGCTTCTCTAATCACATTAAATATGACACTTTAGATTAAAATATTTGTCTGTCAACAAACCTCTGCCACCTTTGAAAGCCATTCATTCTGAATTGAAAGTCAACATTTGAACAGATAAGATACCACCTCGTCATCAATAGCTAAATCCTTTTTGAAATGCCAGTAAAATGAACAATCATTTCTTTCCATGGAGTGAAAATAATCAGTTACTCAGAGTCAAGACAGGACAGTAAACCCAGAGAACACAATACTACTCTTCACCCATCATAAAATGCTCATTGTCAATCATTCAGAACCATTTTCCTACCCCCCCCCCCCCCCCCCCCCCCCCCAAAAAAAAAAAAAAATCCACTATTGGCTTCTCTTGCAGGACGATTGCTCACCGTACGAATGTAAACTTGGTTTGATTGCACCATAAGTTCAGTGTCTGGTTGGCCAAACATTCTGAAGTTACAGCTGAAATAACATCTAAACTGAGCAGGTCATTTATTTGTAAAATGTCAATGTGAGTTGTCATTAATAGAGTTACATAAAAGGTATCCTCTAACTAACCACTGTGGTGCATGCTGGATCACTTTTACTGTATCACTCATTAAAAATGTAACATCAATGTTCTCTGCACTGTATGCAAACACTGTTAAAATATATCTATAAAGGTAGCTGAATGTGAACTAAATATAGGGAATGTTAGAATATAGTTGGATGTTCAAAATGGCTGATATCATTAGGCTATGCTATATGTTCATTTTTATGAATAGAAAATGGAAATACTCTACATGTGATCCAATTGCACTTCAATAACCTACAGTATATGGGCTTTATTAAAACTGGCCTTGGCACATGAACTTCAGGTATGAAAACCTGATCGCAGAATGATGTTCTTATAGAAGAGTGGTTTCCATGACACCTGAATATCATTACCCACCAGTGGTGATAATACACACAACTCACAATATACTTTACTCACTGACCTCTGCACATCAACAGGTGACAAAGGCCTGCAATAATTTGTCCATGTAAAACTTTTTTTGGCACAAAATGTGAATTAAATATATATATTTTAGACCTATATGTTCATGGAACGTTAAAGGTAGACTCAGTGATATGATGTAGACGGAGAAAGTAAACAACATAGTGGGTCAATGTCCGCAACAACTAAGAGCGTTGAAGCGTGAGGATAAACTTCCCCACTGTTTTGGTCCCCTGGCTACCACACTGTAAGAGCGTGAAGTGAACCCGTGCACATGCACAGATACTGTGTGTGACTATGTGGGAGAACGTCTTGCATCACGCTCATCGCAATATCTACGGTGGCAATGTCATGTCGCTGAGTCTACCTTAACTATACCATATTTTAAATGTTTTGATACGTGTGTATCTGGACGGCATGCCGGCAATTGTAGGAAAAAGAACGACTCGTCTCCAAAATCTCTATTCACCTCACTTTGCCATCCCTGGAAAGCAGAGACTGTTAAAGGCATGGGGCTCACTGAAGTTCCAAGCATCTTACTGGTGCCTCGCTAGCCAGGCTGAAAGGGACAATCAGCAGTAGATATAATAGCAAAGCATTCTCCCCACCCGTTTTGTAAAAAGCTGAGGGATGGGGCTGGAGGAATGTAACCACTCTCAAATTCATAAACAGAGCTATGGATGCAAGGACTGACCATCCATGATATCAACACTATAGATTGAACCATGTTTTGAGGCTATACAGTGTTTGTTTACTTTGTTTGCAAACATTTGAGTAAAACAACCTTCTATTTTGGGTTCTGATGGGGAGGACAGTTGGACTAAGCTCATGAGGCATTTAGAAGTTATATTTTGATAGGCTATCAATGGGTATATATCAGTAATTTATAAGTCAAAACATTGATGTAGTAACTGCTGATTGCCCCTTTAAAGACAGACGCACATCTGGTGAACAGGACTGCAAACCTCCAAACCACCTCTATAGAAAACCCATGATTCCACCAGGCCTCTTCTGCTCTCGGTAGGGCTGTTCCTTCAGTCTAGGACTAGCTACAGCTTTAAAACCAGAAGTCGTTTAGGCTTACTTCATCATTCCATGTCTCTGCAATGCAGACCCCTCTTAGACCTCATGGCTATGCATCAGACATACCACCATCTCATACTTGACCTTCTGAACCAAGGCTTGATTACTACCATTTATATTATACGACGTAGAAAAACTACAAAGTAAACGGTTCTCTTTCATTCTCGAGAGCTTTAAAGTCTTCATGATTTATTGACTGAAGCGAATTGAATGTTCTATTTCTTTTTTCTCCAGCAATGATTCCAACCTCTGACATAACCTGTGCTTCTCTCAGGGTGAGATGGTGAGGGTAGGACAGGTAGTACTGTGTTTACTAAACTGTGGTTGTTGCCATAACAAGCAGCTCTTGTGCCGCCTTTTTCACGTCAAGGCATTGTGATTTCCCGTGGAAAGTCATGTTCATTAGACATTTAGTTGCCTTCTCTTTTAGAGTTGGAAAGAAGGCAAGTGCTTTGAAATTAACACTGCTGTAAAACGTTCAACCTTCTCAAAATCAAAGACTGCAAGCTAATTGGCAAATATCAATATTCCCTTCACATAACACATAAAGAGCTTGACAAGGTAATCCCTAGAACAGAAGAAAATACATCTCATATTCAAGAACCTTTGTTGTCCACTGCTAACATACCAAGCTACTGTAGAGCGAATTCCATTACCTTGTTACATGCAAAGTCAGTGATTTTCCTGCTCACTACGGTCAGCTCTACAGCCATCTTAAAAAGGGCATTGTTTTTGGACTGTAAAAAAGTCTGAGGCATGGGACAGAATTTGAGAGAGAAAAATACAGACCAAGAGAGAGAGCGAAAGAGACAGAGCAAAAGGAGAACTCTCAAAAGTCCAGTACAGGAACAATGGGTCTACACTTCCTTTTGTTTCTCTTTGTAACAGTAGCCTGAGGAGCTCTGATCTGCAGTTAAACCAGGAACTAACCCTCAGGACCGCCCGCGAGCAGACACTTGAAATTGCTTAAACTATTTCTTATTTTCTGGTTTTCAAAAAAGGAAAATATCTAACCCAGTTCTGGCCCCTGATTGTCTTTCTGTTTTGTTTGTTTGTTGGGGGAGGGTTACTTTAGGTGTCAAGGCAGGAGCTTCTCTTGCTGTCCAGAAGGTCTCTGTAAACAGAGGAGTTGAGGAAACGGGGGTAGGAGTCTCTGTGCATCAGGGTGTAGATCTGCAGCTGGGCCTCCTCGTACATCATGTTGCTGGGCTCCGCCAGGCTCAGGTTGATGCCTTCCCTCACCCGTGAATCCAGGCTCACCTGGGGGCAGAGGAGGGGAAGAGAACAGTGACAATGCTATCACACAAAGAGCCACTCGGTCATGTTATCAATGGAGATAAGCTCACCTCCCACCTCCTCCTCACCCACTTTGAGATGGGGGTTTCAATAAGTCTTGGAATCAGACCTGGGTCAAATACATGCATGTCAAATATAGTCAAAATACTTGGTGTACTTGCTTTCATTTTCCACAACGGAACCAATGGAAGTCCCGAAAGTGCTACTCTAAAGTAACTCTAAAGCTAAATCAAGCAACAATGTGATACTGAGTAATACTAGGTACCAGTCAAACTCCTGCTTCCAACCTGATGCCTCCTACCTCTTTCGGCGATAGAATGGAGACATAGTCCTCGTAGATGATCCTGGCTTTCTCATCGATCGCTGTCGGGTCCGTCTCCTTCTTCAGCTCCTCACAGGCCAGCCAGAACAACAGGTTCTCTTCGCTGTACTCAGAGCGCAGAAATTCTCTGAAAATCTCCCTGCCTTCTGAGGAGCGCATCACCAGCTCGAAGCTACGGGCCCAGGCCACCACCTCGTCTAGAGTGGGTTGCCTAAACACAGGATACCAGGAACCCAGTGTTAGCAGTCTGGACTCTCACAATACAAAACAAAACACACAACAGATGAATTTATTTTCTCCAGAGACGCATAACACGGTTTCCACCGGCTGTTTCAATTGGCAACAGAAATAGTAGTGGTCATAGGTCATACACACATCCTTGAAAAACGTAGGTACTGGGTTAATGACAAACATGAAAAGAACAAAAGCCTCCACACTGTATGAGGTTCCATAAGCTTCATGACCCTCATGGTTCCACCATTACTATGGAGAAAACAGCTTATTTCTATTCATGGCCCATATTACCGGAGGTATGTTGTTGTTTTTTCTATTGCGGATTGCGGGACACATTTGATAGGCTATAAACTATGTTGCGGGACGCTAACTAGCCTAATCATTTGATAGGCTATAAACTATGTCGCGGGGCGCCAACTAGTCTAATCATTTGATAGGCTATAAACTATGTCGCGGGGCGCCAACTAGTCTAATCATTTGATAGGCTATAAACTATGTTGCGGGACGCTAACTAGTCTAATCATTTGATAGGCTATAAACTATGTCGCGGGGCGCCAACTAGTCTAATCATTTGATAGGCTATAAACCATGTCGCGGGGCGCCAACTAGTCTAATCATTTGATAGGCTATAAACTATGTCGCGGGGCGCCAACTAGTCTAATCATTTGATAGGCTATAAACTATGTCGCGGGGCGCCAACTAGTCTAATCATTTGATAGGCTAAAACTATGTCACGGGGCGCCAACTAGTCTAATCATTTGATAGGCTATAAACTATGTTGCGGGACGCTAACTAGCCTAATCATTTGATAGGCTATAAACTATGTTGCGGGACGCTAACTAGCCTAATCATTTGATAGGCTATAAACTATGTTGCGGGACGCTAACTAGCCTAATCATTTGATAGGCTATAAACCATGTTGCGGGACGCTAACTAGCCTAATCATTTGATAGGCTATAAACTATGTTGCTGGACGCTAACTAGCCTAATCATTTGATAGGCTATAAACTATGTTGCGGGACGCTAACTAGCCTAATCATTTGATAGGCTATAAACTATGTTGCGGGACGCTAACTAGCCTAATCATTTGATAGGCTATAAACCATGTTGCGGGACGCTAACTAGTCTAATCATTTGATAGGCTATAAACTATGTCGCGGGGCGCCAACTAGCCTAATCATTTGATAGGCTATAAACTATGTTGCGGGACGCTAACTAGCCTAATCATTTGATAGGCTATAAACTATGTTGCGGGACGCTAACTAGCCTAATCATTTGATAGGCTAAAACTATGTTGCGGGACGCTAACTAGCCTAATCATTTGATAGGCTAAAACTATGTTGCGGGACGCTAACTAGCCTAATCATTTGATAGGCTATAAACTATGTCGCGGGACGCTAACTAGCCTAATCATTTGATAGGCTATAAACTATGTTGCGGGACGCTAACTAGCCTAATCATTTGATAGGCTAAAACTATGTTGCGGGACGCTAACTAGCCTAATCATTTGATAGGCTATAAACTATGTTGCGGGACGCTAACTAGCCTAATCATTTGATAGGCTAAAACTATGTTGCGGGACGCTAACTAGCCTAATCATTTGATAGGCTATAAACTATGTTGCGGGACGCTAACTAGCCTAATCATTTGATAGGCTAAAACTATGTTGCGGGACGCTAACTAGCCTAATCATTTGATAGGCTATAAACCATGTTGCGGGACGCTAACTAGCCTAATCATTTGATAGGCTATAAACCATGTCGCGGGACGCTAACTAGCCTAATCATTTGATAGGCTATAAACTATGTTGCGGGACGCTAACTAGCCTAATCATTTGATAGGCTATAAACTATGTTGCGGGACGCTAACTAGCCTAATCATTTGATAGGCTATAAACTATGTTGCGGGACGCTAACTAGCCTAATCATTTGATAGGCTATAAACTATGTTGCGGGACGCTAACTAGCCTAATCATTTGATAGGCTATAAACTATGTCGCGGGGCGCCAACTAGCCTAATCATTTGTTTGATAACAAACAACCTTGATCAGTCATGTTATGTTACCATATTAGCTAGGTGGGAACAACCTGGCAACTTGACGGGCACCAATATGGTTTAAAATGGAACAGGGTAATTAGTGTGCTTGTCAGCACCAGTGTCAGAACTGTTATTCCCCATACTTCTTTTATTATTTCACTTCTTCACAATTTTGGTACTTTCAACATGTCAATACCTTTCATAAAGACACGTAGTGATGAAGTCAATCTCTCCTCTACTTTGAGACAGGAGAGATTGACATGCATGTCATTGATGTCAGTGCTGTTTAGATTTAAGGACCAGCCGTGCTGCTCTCTTCTGGGCCAATTGTAATTTGCCTATGTCCCTCTTTGTGGCACTTGATTATACGACTGGGCAGTAGTCCAGGTGTGAGAGAACTAGGGCTTGTAGGACTTGTTTTATTGATAGCAGTATGACGAAGGCAGAGCAGCGCTTTATTATGGCCAGTCCTCTCCCCATCTTAGCTACCGTTGCATCAATATGTTTTCACCATGACAGTTTACAATCCAGGGTTACATACTGTAAGATGATGACACGTCTGCAAGTAGTCATTCTCAACCACCTGAAGATTGATAGCCAGGTGGAGTGATTTGGAGAAATTCATTGTTATAGCGTGAACATTTTTAAATGGCTAGCACTTGGCAAACATATATCAGTCTAAGCAGACATGAAGAGACTGCAATCCATACTTTGGTTAGCCACTGCAACCAACCAACCATTCCATTTGGCTGACTATATACTAGTGGAACACCTTGGTAATTACTAGTGATGGGGTAAAACATTTATTTGATACAGTTACATCTCGCAATATTATTTTGGGACGATATTTGACTCCAAGTATGCATTTGTAAAAACAAAATTACAATAAATACGAAACACTGGTATTTTTCATCCAATAGCTTGTTCTCCATCTTCTTTTAAAATAGTGAGCCAACATGTTTTCAGCACTTTCATTTCCATGACTGATCAAAACTCGCAGTATCGAATCGCAATACATATAGAATCGTGACAATCGCAGTACATATCCTATCGGCACCTGAGTATGGTGATAATATCGTATCGTGAAGTCCCTGGCAGCCCCAGCCCTACTAATTACCATGACAACAGTTTGAACGGGAGCATCTTTGTCAGGACTTATTTGACCTGAGAGTCATGGCTACAGGGACCCATTGAAATGGTGTCATTAAAGGTGGTAATTAGGAATCATGTGCAGGCCTTTCTGTTATTTTCATGTCTTAATCGACAAAACATTCTGAAGTGTTTCCATTATTACAGTAGGACCAGGTGATCGGGACATAAATCCATCTGGCTAGAACAAGAACAACATGAAGAATGAGTGTTCCAAGGTAGAGCCTCAGGTGGAACCCGGTGTCATGGCCACAACCGTGTGAGAACAGTATTTGGCTTACAATTGTTTGAGCAGCCAGACAGGCTATATTATGTAAATCCGGTTGAATGCTGAAATCCAACAATATTACATATCACGCAAATAATAAGCACACAATATACTGCAGAGCTGAACCCTATACTCTATAATGGACATTCTCCTATGGGGTGGTTGGAAATGATGTCCTCATGTGTACTCAGTTAACAGCTGTTTCAGTCAAATAACTGAAATTGTGGGAGAGGTGGAGAGAAAATAAAACTCATGCTCTAATTGGCTAATACAGCAAACGAGTGAGCAACTAAAAGCTGCCGCTTTCAAGGAGCGGGACTCTAACCCGGACGCTTATAAGAAATCCCGCTATGCCCTCTGATGAACCATCAAAGAGGCAAAGAGTCAATACCGGACTAAGATTTAATCGTACTACACCGGCTCTGACACTCGTCGGATGTGGCAGGGCTTGAAAATTATTACAGACTACAAAAGGAAGCACAGCCACGAGCTGCCGAGTGACACAAGCCTACCAGACGAGCTAAATCACTTCTATGCTCGCTTCGAGGCAAGCAACACTGAAGCATGCATGAGAGCACCAGCTGTTCCGGATGACTATGTGATCACGCTCTCCGTAGCCGATGTGGGTAAGACTTTTAAGCAGGTCAACATTCAAAAAGGCAGCAGGGCCAGACGGATTACCAGGACGTGTACTCTGAGCATGTACTGACCAACTGGTAAGTGTCTTCACTGACATTTTCAACATGTCCCTGACTGAGTCTGTAATTCAAACATGTTTCAAGCAGACCACCATAGTCCCTGTGCCCAAGGACACTAAGATAACCTGCCTAAATGACTACCGATCCGTAGCACTGACGTCTGTAGCCATGAAGTGCTTTGAAAGGCTGGTCATGGCTCACATCAACACCATTATCCCAGAAACACTAGACCCACTCCAATTTGCATACTACCCCAACAGATCCACAGATGATGCAATCTCTATTACACTCCACACTGCCCTTTCCCACCTGGACAAGAGGAACACCTATGTGAGAATGCTGTTCATTGACTACAGCTCAGCTCAACACCATAGTGCCCTCAAAGCTCATCACTAAGCAAAGGACCCTGGGACTAAACACCTCCCTCTGAAACTGGATCCTGGACTTCCTGACGGGCCGCCCCCAGGTGGTAAGGGTAGGTAACAACACATCTGCCACACTGATCCTCACCACGGGGGCCCCTCAAAGGTGCGTGCTCAGTCCCCTCCTGTTCACCCATGACTGCATGGCCAGGCACGACTCCAACACCATCATTAAGTTTGCTGACGACACAACAGTGGTAGGCCTGATCACCGACAATGATGAGACAGCCTATAGGGAGGAGGTCAGAGACCTGGCCATGTGGTGCCAGGATAACAACCTCTCCTTCAACGTGATCAAGACAAAGGAGATGATTGTGGACTACAGGAAAAAAAAGAGGACTGAGCACGCCC